AAAGCTGTAGTATATTTCTCATCACAGTACTTATAGAATCACACACACACACACACACTTTATTGCAACCAAAGATTAAGTAAACACTACTCTACTATCACCAGGAGTCATAGTTAATATAGTTGGTTACTCCAAGGCAGTGTTCATACTGAATTCTTGCTCCCCAGGATGGTAACTCAGACAGCTGTTACCTCTCCGATCTTCTCCTGCACTGTGCAAGAGTTCTGACTAAGGCACTGCAGAGTCCTTAGGATTCAGAATTTTGCAGATGTACCAGGAGGGCTCAGCTATGTCAGCAGAACTTTCTGGTGTATTCAGGTAAACAATATCCTCGAGGTCTTCAGACATTTGTTTCTGCTCAGCCCCTATATCCTCTCTATACAACAGATGAAGGCTGACTGTTCCTTCAGACCCTGACAGGGTCAGCAGATGCTTGTGTGCTTGCTGCTGAGACAGGAGACTGCCCAATTCTTGTTCCAATCTTTTCTATTCCAAGAACTGACTTGGTTGGCCTGTTGAAAAAAGTGTCTCTCTATGTCTTGTTCTCTTTTGTTCATCAGACTATCCAGTGGACCACTTATCACCACAGGAGTTACTACCGAATTAAGAGCCAGGTAATAGTAAAGAAAAAACGTTGACTAAACCAGTGTTATAAATACTAGTTAAAGCCACCACTAATCATGATAATGGGATTAGGGGCAACCATGGTAGTGGTAGTTGTAGATGATGAGTTCCATGGCTATCAAGGCATACCATTTGACATTGCAGTAAACATCATGGTTCTTGAACTAACTGTGATGGCAACGGCAGAACCAATCTTAGCTGCAGACAAACTCAATATAGACTACAAGGTAAGTGTGCAGGCCTCTGAGACTGCAGAACACTAAAAAGAGTAGACCCATACCCTGACCTTCTCCATCAGGGAAGAAGTCCTGGATGGACAGCTGCTAGACTCCAGCAGCCTGCTTTAAGTCATGGTGTTAGGTGTTTTAGATTGGGTGTTGCTGTGGGATAATGCTTTTGTACACTGGTTTAATAAGACACTGATTGGCCAGTAGCCAAGCAGGAAGTATAGGCTGAATAAGCAGTCAAGGAGAATTCTGGGAAGAGGAAGGGTTGGGTCAGGAGATGCCAGCCCACCATCCAGGGAGCAGCATGTAATGGCACACAGGTAAAGCCATGGAACACGTGGCGACATATAGATTAACAGAAATGGGCTGAGTTTAAGTGTAAGGGCTAGCCTGAGCTAATGGCCAAGCAGTTTTAATTAATATAAGCCTCTGTGTGTTTACTTGGGTCTGAGCGCCTGTGGACTAGGCGGGATACAGGAAAACTTCCAACTATAGGGTATAACTTGGAAACAGACTGGGAACTATTTTAGGGAGGGAACATCTATGAGAAAGTAGAGGTAGTGCCACTGAGCAAGGCAGAGGTCAATGAGACAGAGGCCACGGTTGATCAGTTGGATACCCAGGACATCTCCATTCTGTTCCTCAGAGTTATTCAAAATTGGGGCTTTGCAGCTACAGACAGGGATGAAGGGCAAGAGTTGTGCCAAGTGCAGCTGAAGGAAGAGTGCAGCCCCTCTGCTCAGCTCCGTGTTTGTCTAGGTTGGTTGGTTTTTGATACAATACTGACAAAAAAAACCTTACTTCTTTATGGTAATTCAAGGTAAAGACCTGTGGAAATTTTCACTGCTAAGTACCCATCTTAGGGCAGTTGATCAGCTTTTTCTTTTGAATTCTGTAAGTATGTGTGGTGGGGGTGAGTTCAGGATCTCCAATGGTCAGACGAGGGTGGCAGACTCTCTCAAGCTGGATACAGGTGAGCTGCTGCAAGTGGGTGCTGGGAACTGAACTCAGGTCCTCTGGAAGAGCAAACAAGAGTTCTTAACCACTGAGCCTTCTTTACAGCCTTCAGTTTGTTTTTTTTTTTAAATGAATTACTCATTCTCTTCCTCTTCCAGAAGAAACTAAGGATCAGACATTGGGTAACTTCATCTTGCTCCAAGAGCTGGTGTTCCAACTCTAGAGGTCATTAGTCCAGTTCTCACCATTTTCCACCACGAGACAACTATGTTTCATTTAAAAAAAAAAAACCTTTGCATGTGTATAGTGTGTATTATGTTGTAGAATATTATTTTAACTGTGTAAAGGTGTGTTACATTGTTTCTGTTGCCTTTGCTCATGATGCAAACATGTGTTACATTTGTTTGATTAAATAAAATTAACCTGGAATCGGGAGGCTGAGTCAGCAAATAGCTGACAGGAAGTGGTAGGGAGGAGCTAAGTGTAGCGAGGGTTCTTTGGTGAGGGCTGAACAGAAGGACAGCCCATTTTTCGGGAGACATGAACAAGGAGAGGTGAGCTACTTGCTCTTCAGCCTGTCTGAGCTAGCAGGATTCCACCTCAACCTTTGAATCCTGAGTTCTATAGAAGGATCGAGATTTAGATAGTTTCCTTTAGGAGCCATGATGGAGAAGGTGCCTGAGGGAACAGAATTCCCACCTAGCTGTGGTGGTGTGGCCCAACTGCTGCTGGTAGCTGTGGAGTTGCAACTGCCGGTTGGGGCAGCAGCTGCTTAAGGTGCAGCCACTGTATTGAATGCAAAACAACAGTATTATACGTATGTGCATGTTCATTGGGCATGTGAATGCCACAGCACATGTGTGGAAGTCAGAGGACAATCATGGGTGTTAGTCATCACCTCTACACTGAGAATTCCATAAAATTAGCTGGTAACAGCAAATGACTTTGAAATGCAAAAACCACCCAGCGATCACTTTCTACTTTCCCACCACTGATTCTGCTGTTGCTGTTAAATCTAGATAGTGTCAGTGTTCTGGTATATCATGAAGTAGTTTTGAAGCTCTTCTTTTTGTTCATATTTTAGTCTTAACCTTTTTAAGAAAAAGTTAAAATTTCAAAGATATCCTGATTATAGTGAATTCCACTGCATATTTGTTTCTCTAAGATTTTTTGTCTAAGATTCAAAAGCCTGATGTTCTATACAAAGAATTTCCAATGAAAATACTTTGTCTTTGTGCAAAAAGACAAAATCAAGAATAGTAACACAAAGAAGTGTCCAACAGAACACGCCTCTCCCCAGTTCTGGCCGACTCCTTTAGAAACAGCACTAACTACTTCTCCTAACTTGCTATTTTTGCAAGGCCATGCTTTTCCAATAGTATTTCTCAGTCTGCCTCTCTTACTCTGTCTACTTCCTTTTCTACCTACCTCTCCTTTGGTTCAGTATTCCTGAAATAATTACCTCGAAACTTAATGGCGTTTAACATTGACGGTTCAGGACCATGGACAGTGCCACGGTGACATCCTGTAATGGGGGCCAACTGAAAAGTTAGTGCATCATTAAACACATTTGTTGTGGTGCCTAAAAGTGGGTAAGGTTCCAGTCACAATAGCAAACTCCTGCATTATTTTGCTTCACCGACTGGAAAACCATTAACACTACCACAAAGGACAAATGGCTCATAGTAGTCCAGTGATTACTCAACGGCTCTTTTAAGTGACTGTCCCCAGTAAACAACTGGAGAGCAAATCTGGGTGTTTTAAAACTGCACATTTACAGTGTCAATGCAATTACCAAAGGTTGGGTCAAGGATGAGAAGTGAATGTAACTTCGTCATTCTCACTGGAGAATACAAAATTAGTTCTAGATATAAAATGAAAATTAGCATAGGACATTTTTCTTTGATGATAAAAACACAACGTCCTTTGATGAGTGTGTCTTCACAATTGAACAATCCCTTTGGCCATCTTCTGATACTAGTGAACTGACAAAGAGGTCACGTGAACTTTCGCCTGAAAAGCAGCACCCTGACGACTCACTGTCTTGTTAGCAGTCAGTGTCTGCTGCTCTAACAGCGGCTGAGCGGCACACAAGCTAATGCCACCCACCTGTACACACGCTGCACGTGCCACTGCTTCTGAAAAGCTTTCCCCACAGTGAATGGCTTCTTCCCGTTACTCAGTGTAAATGGTGATCATCCCGACACGTACTCCTGCCTTGTTCTACTCTCTACACAGACTAGTTATTTAAAGACAAACGTGTCAAGTGATGCCAGGTAGCTCACCTCCCTTCTATCTGCAGCTTGTAGCCGCAGCAATGGGTAACACAACACACAGTAACAACCCATAGTCATCTGACTTCTAGAAACTCATCTTTGGCTGCTTGACACACAGTTTGTGAAGTATAATGAGCTCTTCTGTTCAGTGAGATGACACTGACCCTTCCTTTTAGTTGGACCTCAACTGGACAATGTTCAAGTAACCCTTTACATGCTGCCTCAGATCACCACTTCCTCAACTTACCCTGAGGAGTCTTGCTGGCAAAGAGCATGAAGGGATGAGGACTCAGGAGCCTTCTTCAAGGATGTGGGTGGAAATAGAAAGCTGATTTGAACTCTTAAGAGAATTCTCATTCTTCCCATAAGTCATACAGTGCTCTTATGTGTGGGTCCAGACATGAATTCACCTTTTCATTCTACTAATACTGTTATATCACTTGGCACAAATAGAAAAAACAAACAAGTTTTCCCACATGAAAGTGGTCACATACTGCTTCCAATGCCACTGGTCGGGCTGCTGCACAAGTGGAATCATAGGCTCATTCCTAGAATATAAATCCAACTGTGACTTACATTCGTGTGACAAATCTTGTGTCATGAGAACTAGCCAGGTTGTCTTCGGATCAATCGCTTTTCCCCAGAGTCTGGAATGACCAAGGTGGAAACCCACTTCAGTACCAAACAAAACACCTAACAGTCTTGTAGAGCACGGGAAGGGAGAGGGACACCGTGGCACATCCAGGGCGGGGACCTGACCTTGGCAAGGATTCTTTGTTGCTTTGCTAACCTTAACTGAACAGCTTCTTCCAGGTTCTTACTCACATAACACAAACTTTTGGCTCTCTCTGCATAGAAATGCTGAGTTATTGCTGCCAGCTGGGAGCAAGGCCAACCAAAATATTCTCAAAAAGTATTAAATTCCATGATAGTTTTATTATAAACAGTTTGATTTTACTCCTAAGTCTCACTCCTAAACTATCTGTGAGATCAATACTCCGTTTGTGGGTCCACAACAGACATATTTTTGCTACTTGGACTAGCACAAGTGATTTCCACTAGTCAAGTCAACCTTCTAAAACGGTAGTGAACGGACAGCTTCCTGGAAGCCTGGCTCTCCTACCTGATGCCCCCCAAACGACCTCAATTTAAATGAAGACGACATCCCATACACATGTATCTGGATGTATTTCTCACCAGTAACGAAGTCCCAATAGACCCTCTGGACTAGTTAACTGGCAGGGAACACACTAATCCTGGTAGGACACACCAACACCGCAGTGCTCAATCGGGAATGTATGTTAGAATACCCATAGAACTGCTGTAACAAGACAACTATTTTTAGATCAGATTGGGACCCAGTTTGTGGATCTAAGCGGAGAAGTGCCCAGGGGTGCATGCCTCAAAGCCCTCCAATTCTGACTCAAATACTGCCACCATTATAATAAAGTCTATTTATTCCTCCCTCCATGATATTTGAGCTCCTAATTTTGTTAAGACTCAAAATTATTGTGCTTTATTATTGTTACTGTTGTATTCACTGGAATCTTCTTGTAAGACACTTGGAACCCAAACTAACCACGGACTCCAACATAAAAACCCTGAGTTACTCCAATTCTTCATTTGTAAACCCACACATGTACAGCAGCAGCCTATGTGTTACGAGGGAGGGCTCTCTCCATCACTAAATGATTTTAAATATCTAAACTGTTCATCAATAAGAGGAAGTAAACATTTTATATTTGAAATTTTATGGGCAGTTTATTAAGTTCAATGTTGAAAGCTATCAGAAGAATATTCTCCTGAAAAATATGGTTTTTTCTTAGAAAAAAATGAAAGGAAGATCCAAACCCTCTCAGCATAGCCACAGATGCTGTGGCAGTCATGCCTCTCTGGAGTCAGGGACAGTCTGTTAGTCTGAGGAGTCGCTCCCTGGGGCCACAGGATTGTAGTCGGGATCGTCCTCAGCATCCTCCAGTTCCAAGTCATCCATTTCCTGGAACAAGGACTCATCCACCTCCACGTTGTTCCCGGCTGTGAAAAGCAAGACAGTCTCGCCTTACACTCCAGAACACACAACCACGGTGTAGGGGGTGAGTGGTTCTCCCAGGCTCCTGGTGCAAATCTTTCCTAAGTTCATCAGCAGAGACTCTGACAACACAAGAGCAACTGCAGTCTTCATGTTCATCGTGTAAAGTCTTGCTGTTTTAAAAAGAAGGCTCACAGAACACTTCAATGTAGCATGTTAGAGTAGAAAACAAGACTCACTGTCTTCTACACAGTGGACCATCACCGAGCCCAGCCCCCCAGATCATCTATCTCATCTAGTAGTGGCAGATACACATATCAACAAGCTCTGCTGCAATTCTTAACTTTCTGTCGGATAGTTGTATGCTTGCCTAGTTCCCTTTACATACAACAGAGGGCAAAGGCTCTAATGTGGAACCCTATGAGAGGCACTGGCCAGGCTCTGCCTCTGCATCACCACCCTGAGACGGCCTGAGGGAGATACAGTAGGATCCACAGCACTCCCCAATCTGCACAAACGTTATCTTCCTTCCCTCTCGGAGTCTAGCTTACTGACATTCAATCCATAAGACTAGAGAGAGCCATGAGCAGTTCAGAACTAAAACTGTAATGCTCCAAGTCCAGGTCGAAGAATAACTGACTAAGGAGGGGCGAGAGCTTCTCAAATGCCTTCAGGGAACACCTAACTCCACCAAGAATGAAGCGATTCTAGACGTCTAGAAAAGACAGAAGAAAAAGTAAGATCTTCATACTTCTAACAAGAAGACAAGATTCTTGAGAGAAAATACCTGGAGGTAACACAGGCAAGGCCAGGCTGAGAGACACTGTCGAGTCTTTTTTCCCCTAGCGAAGAACTTTAAAGTTTTACGATTAAATAGGAGTTTCACCTTCTCAGAAACAGAGCAGTAACTAGAGACTACTGAAGGTCCTGAGAAAGAGAAAGAGATTCAGAGGCTGGAGAGATGGTAAGGGCACTGGCTGCTCTTCCAGAGGACCCAGATTCAATCCTCAGCACCCACATTGTAGCTTACAGCCATCTGTAACTCCAGTTCCAGCAGATGTGGTGGCCTCTTCTGGCCTCCATGGCAACTAAGCACACATGCAGTGCACACACATACACGCTGTCAAACACTCATACACACAAAATAAACATATCTTTTTAAAAAAGGAGAGAGGTTCAGAGAAATGATTTAGGAGGCTACAATAAAAGTTCAGGCAGAAACAATAGAACCTTCAAATAAGAGGAAGAGATTGCTGGGAGACATTTCCACAGTAGACTTGGCAGGTCTCTTTGGGAAATCCAGAGATAAAGAGCTACCCTGACCTAAGAGAAGAAGAAAGGAGTCAAGAACAAGTGAAGCCAAGCACGTTGGAGCACACTGCTAATTCCAGCACTTGAGGTGCAGAGGCAGGAGGATCTCTCCAAGTTCAAGGCTCATCTACAGAGCAAGTTCCAAGCCAGTCACTGCTATACAGTGGGACACTATGAAAGGGAGGGAGGGAGAGAGGGAGAGAGGAGAGAGGGAGGGAGAGAAGGAGGGGAGAGGAGGGAGGGAGGGAAGGAGGAAGGGAAGGAGGGGTAATGATATTAAAGTTCCTAAAGCACAAGAGAATGAGATGAGGCTTTGGGGAGCTGGAATTCCTCAGCAAAACCAGAGAGAACACCCTACTGAATTTCTGCCTTTTATTGTTTTGGCTTGTCTGAGAGAGTCTCACCCTGTAGCCTAGACAGGCCTGTAACTCACAGTGCAGAATAGTATGGCCTCAAACTTGGGCAATTTGGTTCAGTCTCCAAGTACACAGATTACAGGTGGTAAGCTACCATGCCCAGCTTTGGGTTTTGTTTTCAAGACCATAAAAATAGAAACCTTGACCTATCTGCTAGAGAAGGTAATAATATACATTTGAGGGGGAAAAAATATCGAGGGCTGCCAGTGTAGCTCAAGGACAGCATTTACTTGCATGCATACGGCCTGGGGTTCAGTTCTTAACACCACAAAGAAAGGAACAGGGTGAGTGCCAGTAAGCCCCTGTGAGGTCTAGAAGAATGGTTTAGCAGTGAGCCCCATTAACAGTGCCTACCCTTCTCCAGCAGATAACCCAGGGCATGTCTGAGAAGCCAAACCAAGACAACTCCAAATGACAGGGCAGACGTGAGAGAAGGTTAAAGAGACCTACAACCCTAAGAAAGTGCGACTGTGACCAGGTGTGACTAAGCATGGCGGCCAGTCTGAAAGCACAAAGAGGCCAACAGCTGTGCGAGGCAGGCAGTGGTCCGTGCTACCCTCTGCTGGGCACCGTGGAAGGAAGGAAGGAAGGAAGGAAGGAAGGAAGGAAGGAAGGACAGTCCTACAAGCATCTGTGGATGGATGGGCAGCTGGAAATGCAGAAAGAACAGAGGAGGTAAGGGAGGAGCACAGGACAAGATGCCCCTACAACTGCACACACCGGAAGAAGGGCCGGCTGCCCAGCAGAGGATGCTGGGAGTTCCACACCCGAGGCTCCTCTAAACCCAGAGCAGATCGTGGATTCAGTTCTCCAACGTCTGATACAGACTTGTGAGGAAAATGTCACCTGAGCTATGCTGTCCCAGTTTTCCAGCTGACAAAGGCTCGTGTATTAAAACTGCCACCCTGAGAACTCTGAAGTCATCAGAAAACTTAAAAACACACATTGCTATACAATTTAAACATTTAGATAGAGTATAAAAATTGATTATCTATTAGAACTTATCTTCAAAATGCCATTTTTAACAGGTTTGACAGGATAAATTTCCTCTCCATAGATTAAAAGACGACACGTTACACCCACAAGGAAGTCTAACAGTATCTTACCGTCCTCCAGGAACTGGATATCAGATGTGTCAAGATTATGATCTGTTTCAAATAACTGTTTCCCTAAAAGAAATAAATATGCTTAATTCAAATGGCACAGCATCCCTTCATCCCCTGCAATCACTTCAAAGGGTAAGAGCTCAATAAAACAAATCTGAACATCTGTATTTCCGGGAATTTCAATAATTTTATGAATTTTGCAGTAGCTTAGAAGTTAAGACCTGTATTCACACTAAAACAGAAAAAATGAAAAACCTAGGTTCCTCGGGCCTGGAAAACTATGGGTTTGATTCTCGCACTCTGAAGTCTTTTGATCCTCAATATTCTTATTCTAGGATCCAGAAAACAAATCCAGATTCACCAACAGAAAACAAAGAGACAGCACACACAGTAACTATGACTTGTGTGTGAAGAGATGCATGCTTGCTATGGCAATCTGTCCTGACCACCTTTGCTGTCAGGGAATGGCAGAGGGTGCAGGGTGAAGGAGTAACTACGCCAGAGGCAGCCATACCACTTAGTTTATTTTTCCCGGCTTGTTCTTCTTCTTTCATCCGTTTCTTTTTAATTTCCAGGAGTTCTGCATCAAACTTGGCCTTCCAACTCAAGAAATTCTCAATCGTAACAGGAGTGCCATGGAACAGTTTCTTAGAAAAGAAATAAAATAAAAATAAAGATACAGGCATCCTGTCAATGAGGCAGTAATTTAACAAATAAAGCCAAGTGGTTTTGTCTTTTAGATATACACAACCACGAAGGTGAAGAACATTACTCATTTAATTTAACTAGTTCTCTTTAGTTTCAGCAGCTTACTCTGCAGAAGTCAAATTTTAAAAATATTCTTCTTCTAAAAATTAAAAAATAAAGATACTATGCAATGTACTTCCTGTACTCGTCATAGTTATTTATTATTAAGAAAGTTTTTGGTTGTATTATGTTTTGGATACACATCAACTCACAACACTGCCATCACTTTTTTACTTTACTCAGAGCTTGGCGTTGGTCTCTGTATAATTAGCAGCTCACTGTGCTAGGGCTTGACAGTTCAATACTACACACCAGCGGCTCAAATGATTTACAATTCTTGGTCTCACATGAGTGAGCTTTACCAGTCTGTCACTTGTTACTCACAATATGTCACCAACCAAAATTTCACTCGTAGTAAAATTTACTTATTAGTTTCACTATTGTGATTTCCAAAAGCAGGTTGCTAAAATTATCAGAAAAAAGAAAAGAAATATCAAACAAGTCAACAAAGAGATGTGAAGAAAATGAAAAGATTTTCAAGTATACCTTCTCTGCTTCTTCTGCTTCCTTTTCTTTCTGTTTCTTTTCTTCCTCTCTTCTGGTTTTTATCTGATCGACAATCTCATTTAACTTTTCCTGAACGGCTGTCACAAGAGTGAAGATCATCACCATGCCAAGATTTTCCTCAGCCTGTATGAAACAAAGAGCGGTGTCGAGAAACATACTCCTCAGGAAACAAAAGCTGCCCAAAGAACCAAAGTTTAGTATAATAACTAAACCCCATGTTTAGAACATGATTCCTCATTCAGTTATACTATATAGTTGGATAAGCGAACATTTGAAATTTGAGTATAGAGCCAGAAGTTGTAGCCTGTAAATCCCAGCACTTGTGAGACGGAAACAAAGGATCAGAAATTCTTGGCTACATATGTGGTGGTATTGTGTTCCCCAAAATATTGTGCACCCTAATAAACTTATCTGGGGTCAGAGACAGAACAGCCACTAGATACAAAGGCTAGAAAATGGTGGCACTCACACCTTTAATCCTAGCACTCCAGAGGTAGAAATCCCTCTGGATTTGTGAGTTCAAGGCCACATTGGAAACGGCCAAGCATGGTGACACACGCCTTTAATCCCAGAAAGTGAGCCTTGAATCCCAGGGAGTGGTGGTAGAAAGCAGAAAGATATATAAGGCGTGAGGACCAGAAACTAGAAGCATTTGGCTGGTTAAGCATTTGGCCTGGTTAAGCATTCAGGCTTCCAGCAGCAGTTCAGCTGAGACCCATTCTGGATGCGGACTCAGAGGCCTCCAGTCTGAGGAAACAAGACCAGCTGAGGATCCGGCGAGGTGAGGTAGCTGTGGCTTGTTCTGGTTCTCTGATCTTCCGGTTCACCCCATTACCTGGCTCAGGTTTGATTTTATTAATAAGAACTTTTAAGACTCCTGCTACATACATAGGGAGTTCAAGGCCACCCTGGGCTACATGTGCCCTTGTCTTTAATGACTAAGACATAGTCACAGGAAACAAGGAGGTATTGTTGTTATAAAATCTGACAATATAGACTTCAAACCAAAACTAGTGGGAAAGATAAAAAGGGGTCATTTCTTAATGATTAAGAGGATTTCAAGAGGACATTATGATTCTAAGCATGTATGTCCAGAACACGGATGGGTACAAGCAATTTTATAAAAGCAAATACTACTAGATGTAACAACATAGACTAATCCCAGCACCACAGAGTAGATGACTTCAATAGCCAAAAAGAGTTTTGAGCTGCCGTGTGGGTGCTAAGAACCAAACCCACGTTCTCTGCAAGAGCAGCAAGTACTCTTAACTGCTGACCCACCTCACCAGCCCCCTTCTCTTTCTGTTGATTAGTTTGGCTAAGTGTCTATCTTGTTTATCTTTTCAAAGATCCAATTCTTGTTTTGTTGATTCTCTGCATTTTGTTGTTGTTTGTTTGTTTTCACTTCATTTATTGTGGCCCTACATGTAATGATTTCTTTCAGTCTACCGATTTGGGGTTTGGGTTCTTCGGTTTCTATAGCTTTGAGGTATCTTTAAGTTATTTGAGATCTTGCTTATTTCTTAATGTAGATAAAGCTATAAACTTCCTTCTTAGGACTGTTCTCACATTCTATAGGGTCTGGTATGTTGTGTTTTCATTTTCATTTGTTTCTAGGAATGTTTTTATTTCCCTCTTGACTTCTTCAAGGGCCTATTAATCACTCAATAGTGTATTGTTTAATCTCTATGCATTTGTGTGTGCTCTAGAGTTTCTCTTGCTGGAATTATTTCAGTTTTCCGGTATATTCTGAGACTTCATCTGTGTGCTAATGTATGATCTGTTTTAGAGAAAGTTCCATGGGATGCTAAGAAAATGCATATTCTTCAGTTTTGGATAGAATGTTATATAGATATCCTTTAAGTCCATTTGATCTATGATATCATCTAATTTAAATATTTCTCTGTAACTCCAGCTCCAGGGGGTCCAGTGCCCACTGCTGGTTTTCATAGGCACAGGTATACACACAGTGCAAATACATACATACAGTGTAGTACTATAAACCTGGTCTAAAGCCCATGACTGGGGAGGTCACAGATCCTAATGGAGAGCCTACTCAGCTAAAGTTAAACAGTCTTCTAAGTATTTATGTTTGTACTTATAGATCAATGCTGTTCCCAATCTTAGAGAGAATCATAACTGCCCAAAGTGCTGAAAATAAGTGACTGCTGACTCCTCATCTCTAAATGGCACATGTATATCAGCCCACTCTATCAAAGTTCAGGGACCATCATGGAAAAAGGTGTGGAAAGAGTAGGAGCCAGAGGATAGGGAGGTGTTCTGTGTCTTCTGAATGACATGCCATTGAGCTCATGAACTCACGACAGCTGTAGAGACATACACAAAATCTGTACTAGATCAAACCTGTCAAAATTCCAACATTGAAGGTAGAGGACACAAGGCCCTACCCTCAGCTGAGGAGCTATGGGCAGCTGATAACTTCTACGGGAAGGAGTCCTTTTCCTTCGGGGTATGGCCAATGGTGGCTTGCCCATGCTCCCGTGAACAGCCCCTAGCCAGGTGACTAGATAACGCTAACTGGTCTTCGTGAGCTCTTTAAAGGAAGGGCTAGAGAGATGGTTCAGTGAGGTTAAAAGCAAACTGCTCTTTCAGAAGACCAGAGTGCAGTTCCACGCCCCTGCATCAGACAGTCACAACTGCCTGTAACTCCAGCTCCAGGGGAACCCAACACCTCTGCGGGCACCTGCACCCCACGCACAGGGACACACATACATATACACAATTAAAAATAAATCTTTAAAACAACAAAAAAGGAAGACCAGGATGTGAAGGTGGAAGGGGTTTTGTTAAGAGAGGGTCTGGGGTAGCATTATATACATGCATGAAATGCTCCAAGAATAAAAATCTTGTCTTTCTTAAAGATGCTTTGTGGTTGTGTATCATGAATTCTGACTGGTCAATGTACTATTTACATACATTTAAAAACATTTTCTAGCCGCGCGGTGGTGGCGCACGCCTTTAATCCCAGCACTCGGGAGGCTGAGCCAGGCGGATCTCTGTGAGTTCGAGGCCAGCCTGGTCTCCAAATCGAGTTCCAGGAAAGGCGCAAAGCTACACAGAGAAACCCTGTCTCGAAAAAACCAAAAAAAAAAAAAAAAAAAAATTTTCTAACCAACATTTAATACTAAGGCCAATAAAATATGCTACTATAAAGCAAAATTATTTCCTTACCTGCAATGCCAGTAATTTTAAAATGTCTGAGACATCATTATCTTCTAGATTTTCCTGGGAGAATATTTCATAAAGGGGAGCTTCATCAGGGTATTTTTCACTATATGTAAACTTGAGAGTAGTCTGGACAGCTAAGGCACAAGATAAAAGTTTAATGGAAATACATTAAAAATATAAAAAAAAAAATTAGTGTTTCTACTGAGTCAATAATTTATAAAATCAGTAAAAAGCAGTACCATAGAATTACTAATTTAAACAACAACCTCAAAGAGATGAGTGAAACAGATCAAAGGAAAGGCAGAAATCCCTTCCTGCCTACGAAACATATTTACCACCTAGCAGCATTTAACTATACTGTATTTCAGAGGACAGACAATATCATTTTGTAAAAAATCCTGGCAAACAACACTTAAGTGAAAATAATATTAGCATTTTGTTTTGTTTGTTTTTTGAGACAGGGTTTCTTTGTGCAGCCTTGGCTGTCCTGGAACTAGCTCTGTAGACCAGGCTGCCCTAGAACTAGTCTCAGACTCAGACTTTACTAGACGAAGTTCCTGACTGCGGAGGACTTAGCAGTAGACTGATTCATATTCAAATACGCGCAGTGATAGCAGAATATTGATAACTGGGTGGCTAGGTGACACATTTTTACACTGGGCAGGTTGAGAGGTTAGCTAGGAATATTTCAGCTAGACTCATCTACACTAACAGTCTTAACTTTATGCCATTTAAAGTGCAATTCTCATGAGCACACTAGGGCAAGATAAACGCTGCGGCCCAGCACATGGGCGCTCTGGTCCATGAACAGTATGAAGGCAGTCAAAAATGATAACCCTCTGTAATTCAACCTATGATCTTTTATTTAGAGTTTATCATTCCTGTTATTCACCTTTTTATTATTAAAGCCTAGGTGCTCTGGTCCATGAACAGTATGAAGGCAGTCAAAAATGATAACCCTGTGTAATTCAACCTATGATCTTTAATTTAGAGTTCATCATTCCTGTTATTCACCTTTTTATTATTAAAGCCTAGCAATTAACAAATATATTTCTTTGCTCTGTAAGAGGGGGTGTGCCACAAAGCACATGTGGAGATCAGAGAACTCACAGACGTTGACTTCCTCACCATGTAGGTTCTGAGAATCAAACTCAGGTTGTGAGACTTGGCAGCAAGTACCTTTTCCCACTGATCAGCCAGCCCCATAACGCACTAATTAAGATGAAATAATTCAAGTCCATGTTGCTCTCAACTAGAAGGCCAAAGCCTACAGGACTGATACTGTTTTAATTTTCATGTTAAATTTCAATAAGTATTTGTATGGGCCTCTTGTGGTGGTACAACTTTATAAGCTGAGCACTCAAGGGGCTGACCTATGCGGATCATGAATTCCAGAACAGCCGCTGGGAATTTTTTTTAATATTAATCAAATTAGATAATTTTTTAAAGCACTATAATGATCCAAAGCTGGGAACACAGGCAGCTCAGTGGCAGAGTGCTGCCTGTGTGTTCAAGGCCTTCATTCAATTGGAGTACTGTAAAATAAAAAAGCACTTGAGAGGCAGGCACAGGCAGAGGGGCTGAGTGTGCAAGGCTACCCTGGGTTATACAGGGAGATCCCATGAGACCTAGATGCAAAGTTTCGTGTGCACTAGGTAAATTTTTAACACTGTGCTACAGTCCTCAGCCAATAACAACAAATAAAAACCAATAACTGCCAAGAGATTAAAATCACAAAAAGTAAATTTAACACATAAAATTCACCACAGTCGGCATATTAGTATTTTTACCTCTACTCACTGGAGTTCTAGAATTTATTGTTTTCATGTTCATTAACCCGAGAATATTTTTAAAGACACAGTGTAAACAACTGCAATGAATTTTATCTTGCAGATACATTAAAACGCACTTAACTATTTTAAGTAGTTAAATTTGTTGTTTGTTTTTAAGTAGGTATTCTTGTTGCTACTGTGTGTGTTATAGTTTCACTGCCTAGCTCAGGCTGACCTTGAATTGAAAATTGCCATGCCTCAGTCTCCTAAATGATGGGACTATAAGCGTGTATTACTATACCTACTAAAAAGCGTAAGCTTAAAAAAAAAAAACAAACCAAAACTTACTGCTTCTACTATAAGCAATACCAGGTATCCATTATAGAAAAGACATATCTACAATCTCAAACCTAACAGGTACATCATTCCAATTCCCTCAATATTAAAAATAAGCAAACTTCCTTAAGTATGTCACCATTTACTGGCTAAGACAGAACCAGTATGATTATTATGATTATTATAACATCCCATGTATCATTTACTTTCCTTACAATAATATCCTGTAAGTAGAAGTGCACAGAGGGTTATTTTCTTATATCCCTTGTTCCATGATCTAACAAGGTTAATTCTTCAGTCGCTGCTCCATGATGACACATGTAAGTTTCTACATCCCTTGCTCCACAATCTAACAAGGGTAAATTTTTACATCCCCTGCTCCATGACCTAACAGCTATCCTGTACTAATCTAAACTCAAAACAGCATATTTCTCTACTTGCCAACACTGAAAACCTACTGGATAAGATGAAATATCTTCGTTTTAATTTGCCTTAAGTACTAGTGACTAGTTTTTTAAGTAATCATTTATAACTCCATGTCTAGAAACTATGCATCAATTTCCTGTCTACTCTTTTACTAATCGGTTCATTAAGATGAAGTATAGGCCCAGAACTCAGGAGGCAGAGGCAGCAGATCTCTGTGAGTTCGAGGCCAGCCTGGTCTACAGAGTGAGTTCCAGGACAGCCAGGGTTGTTACATAAAGAAACCCTGTCTTGGAAAAAAAATTAAAAACAATAAAGTAAAATGAAGTATAGGAACAAAAACAGCATGACCTAGGTACTGTTTTAAACACAGTTAAAAAGCATTTCTCAAATTAAGGATGAACTGCTCACAACTACTATTACAGGAGTGTTATTAGCTCCCAACGAAGGTACTGTTCAGAATATGGGAATGATCTCCAGAAAGGTTAATAAGAAAATTAAATTCTGTCTCAGTGAGCGCTGCCATGCCATTCTGCATACATACATAACATACTGGTTTCACATTGCCAACTGATGCTGAAGAGTTGCGGGGACAGGGTGAGAGCAATATTTATTTGGAACTTTAATATACTAACATTGTAGCAACTTACCTATAAAAGTACAGAAAGAGTAACTTTTCATTGAGATTGCAAAATATCTCAATGTGAAACTCATTTTCCATAACATAACAGTTTTCAAGTGATACCACTAAAACTGACTGATTCTTCCTGACAGAACTTGTTACCACCTGAGAAAAACATTCTGGAGACTGTCAACTTATATGTAACTTTCAAAATTATTAACTGACTTAGACCAAAAATAGATAACCTTCATATTCTCACTAAATTTAACTTATTAGCTTACTAGTTTTAAAGCTGTTTTATTTAGGGGGGAGGGAGACAAGGATAAGCAGATAGGTGCACATCCCGCCTGTTTATAACAGCAAATGCTCAATAAATAATCTACTCTTCCAAAGAAAAGAGCAGCATTTGAAAGGTCGTAGTCACTTGACAAATGCTCTGAACAAAAATCTCCACCTTCTCTTCATCTGCTGTACTATCAACCTAAATTCTTCATTTTTAAACACCAAGCATACGGGCCAGACTACACAGCCTGGACTGCCTCTGTCCCCAGGAGTCACACCTCCACAGTAAACACGGGCTTCAAACACAGCAGTAGTGGCGCCTCAGCACCTCCACCCCTGCGACGCCCTGCACAATGGCTGCAGAAGGAGCCCAGAAAAAGCAGAGGAATTTCATCGTGCTTACTTTCGTCATTTTCTCCAGCCTCTGACGTCACAGTAATGGTGAAGCTGGGTGGATTTTCTGATAATACTGCAAGAAAATATACACAGCAGTTATTAGGATGCTTCCTACAGCAGACACTCCCAGAGGTTTACTGCTGCTCAGCACTAGAAATTCATACCTCACCTGTGTTTTCATTTCAACCAATACAGACTAACAGAACACTGAAATGAGAAAGCCATCATTTCAATCGAGAGTAATCTTTTTTTTTAAAAAAAAAATTTATTTATTTATTATGTATATAGTGTGCTGTGGATGATTGATTGATAAATAAGACACTGATTGGCCAAGGACAGAAAGTGAATCAGATATATTTTGGAATTACCAAAATAGGATAGATAATGAATTATTTTCTCTGAATTTGTCAAATGCGAATGGACTAGACATTGTTTAGGTATTTATTGTTTGTATATATGGCATATAGTTATTGTACTTTTGTATATAGTTTTTCTTACATTAGTTATAACTTTTTCCTTTTTATTAAAATAGAAAAAGGGAAATATGGTGATATTTTATTTGTACTGAAATGTGATTTTACTTGTATGTTAATAAATAAAGTTGCCTGGGGGTCAGAGCTAATAGCAAGCCATAGCAGAAGCCGGGCGGTGGTGGCGCACGCCTTTAATCCCAGCACTTGAGAGGCAGAGCTATGCAGATCTCTGTGTGTTCACAGCATGGAGACACACGCCTTCAATCTCAATACCAACCACAGAAGACCTAGAGGTCTGTATAGACAGGCAGTGACGAGGAGTTTGGGTTTACAACCAATGAGAAGGCAAAACAAAAAGTCAATAAAAAGACGGACACACAGGAAGTAGGTCTCTTTGCTGAGGGGAAGGACAGCAGCAGCAGTGAAGGGTAAGAAACGGTTTTTAGCTCTTAGCTATTGCTCTGACCTCTTGGGCTCTCAACTCTGCAATTGGCTCTGTGTTTCTTATTTAATAAGACTGTTCATCTATAATAGTGTTATGCCTACATGCCAGAAGATGGCACCAGATCAAATTATAGATGGTTGTGAGCCACCATGTGGTTGCTGGGAATTGAACTCAGGACCTTTGGACGAACAGTCAGTGTACTTAACCTCTGAGCCATCTCTCCAGCCCCGAGAGTAATCTTAATCTGCAAAGAAGTACCTTTAGTTAAACAACTCTATAATCAATTATTAGATCATTTATATTTTATTCCAAAATCTACCAGTACATGAAATGCATTCCAAAAACATCCCAAACAGAATGGTAAACAAAACCTTTGGCATGTTTTTTGCCAGCCACTACCCACTGATATATCCATGTTATGATGGCTTATTATATTGTTATTGTCTATATGTTTAAGTGAAGTCAAATCTAATCTTTCCAAAAGTCTGGGTCTTTACCATCTTTCATACAATTAGAAAAGAAGTTAGGTAAGAAGCTAAACATCAAATTACTTAAAACTTATGAAATCAGACATGTAAGTCAACATTTACATAGGCAAGGAAGCTTCAGAGATCACTTTAGAACATGTCTAATAACATCTGTCGATCATCTACTCTCACACAAGAGTATAATAAAATCCTTGAGGAACCCCAAATCAGTGCCCAGCGGGGTCTGGAAAGGGAGCAAATACTGACTTAATGACGAAATAGAAAAGGTAACAAAGGAAACACTAAACCAAGTGAGAAGTAACCAGGAAGCCTCTAACTGCAGGGGTGGTGTGGTGACAACGTCTAAGCTTTGCTCCGCCCCTGGGAAGCATGGCCTCTAGGTTGGCAGCAGCTGTGTGAGAGCTCTGGAAGAGCACAGATCACTCAAGAAGCCGCTGTGGAGACTGCATGGCTTCAAACTGCCCAGGCACGTTCTGAAGCCACCACAGACATGTGTTATCAGTAATGTTTTTAAGATGGAGAGCCTCATTGTGACTCGGGTTTAAAACACAATGATGAGCTGGGCGGTGGTGGTGCACGCCTTCAATCTCAGCACTCGGGAGGCAGAGCCAGGCGGATCTCTATGAGTTTGAGGACAGCCTGGTCTACAGAGTGAGTTCCAGGAAAGGCGCAAAGCTACACAGAGAAACCCTGTCTCGAAAAAACAAACAAACAAAAAACAAAAACAAAAAAACCACAATGATGCCCAAAAGATGAAGTACTCTCCCTGGACTCAAACTGTCTATCACAGTCTCAGACAATACACCCCTTGCTGAAAAGGCATTGAAAGCTTCTTAAAAGCTCCCAAATAGGTTATTACCAATTTTAAATGTTTATTACAATACATTATGTATGTTTCATTATTCTTTCTTAGCATTAACGTTAATATCACGAAATGTAAATACTGTGACACAGAAATAAATGACAAACCAACCAACAAGGACTCCAGGAGGCTATTAGCCTAACAAACACAGCCTGATGACTGAGCACCACAGTATACTTGTGCTGTGCCATGCAGTTTAACAAAAATCCTTTAAATCCAATGCCAAGATCATGGGTTTATACTCTTAATACAGTCCACCTAATTTAAGATACTAAATTAAAAATAATTTACCTTATATACCACTAAAAAAGATGCCAACTAAACCATGATACGTAAGTTCTTATGTTAATCATTTTCAAATATACGACATGCGTCTCAGAAACAGTTACATCCACCGTCACCTCAAGGCCACAGATGAGGACACTGAACAGCAGAGCTCTCACATAAATTACCTCCATGTAGCTCTGCAGTTGTAAGTGGTAGTACTAAATAAACCACACAGGGCTTCGTTTTAAAAGGAAAAGAACATTTCCAGCTGATGAATTTCAGGACTGTTATTTGAATGAGGCTGAAAGCCATGAATGGCACATTAGGAAGTAAAGGGGAAGGAGGGGGATGTGTGTGAGGGTGGTGGATCACAATGGCTGGGAAGGTGAACTGTTGTCAACCGTGGGATGGACAGACGTAAGTGGAGCAGTGCAAGGACAGTTCACAGTGCAAGCCTCGACAGGAACAGCTTCAGCAGCTGGAACCGTGTCTCTGCACAGGACAGTGCATCTAGAGAGTACACAGGATAGGAGGCAGACGGAACCAGGCAGCTTATACAAGCAATCAGGCAAGGCTAATGAGGTCCTGAACTAGGATGGGAGCCATGGGAACAGCAGGAAATTGAGCTGACAGCTGGAGCGGGCAGCTGCGGATATGGTGCCACTAAACCAAACAGGAGTGCAGAAGGAATCGGACGTGCTATGTTTGAATAGAGGGAGACCTGCAGGGAGGAGTGGGCAATCAAAAACAAGCCAACAGGAGAACCAATAAGGGTTCAGTTCAATCTGGATCTTCCGGTAATAGCTGAAGCTATCAGACCAAGGAGATCCTTAGAATTAGATAATGAGAGCATTAGAGACACATGATAAAAGACAAAGGCCAACAATTTAGAGAAAAAAGTGAGAGGGAAAAAAAAAACTGCCAGAGAGTAAAAGCGGCAGCCACAGCAGAGAGTAACAAACCATAAAGAAGCAGCATTACTCAAATCACAGGACAGGCGTCTCAGGGTGGAGGATAGCCCCGTTCTCCCACCCCACCCCACCCCATCTCTGCTCCACTTCCTAGCATGGAGGTTTTATCACACTACCTGCTTTTAAAAGCAGTTTTCAGGACAGTCTGGTGGCACCTGCCTGCAATCCCAGTGTTTAGGAGGTGGAGGGAGGACAGTCAGGAATGCAAGGATGTCCTCAGCCACAGAGGGCACTGGGGGCTAGCCTGAGCTATGTGAGGACCTGACAAAGGTAGGGAGGGTGGCAAACAACAAAAACTAAGAGCAGCTCTCTATCTGTCCTCAGAGAGTTAGGAGAGATGGGGCTACACAGTCCACACACTAGAAACCCTAGTCCTGGTGAAAACACCAGTCTCTATAGTATGCACTGTACAGTTTGTGCACGGAGGACCGACTGACAGATCAGATGGAACCCCGACAGGGCCGTCAGTCATCTGGTTCCTGCTCCCCTGTTAGTGCTCTCTCCTTTCCTCATTTCCCACTTCTGACTTCAGGCTCTAGCAATGCCATCACTTGTATTCAGCACAGTGTGTCTGCTGCAGAATGTTTAACTAGGCAAAGATGTATTACATATGTTTATGCTGCATTTGTTTAAGATGTGCTGCTTTGCCTGCCGAAGGCACCCGATTGGTCTAATAAAAAGCTGAATGGCCAATAGTTAGGCAGTAGAGGGATGAGGGGGCTGGCAGGCAGAGAGAAGTCGCGGAGGAGGAATCTAGCCTCGAGAGGAGAGAGAGAGAGAGAGAGAGAGAGAGAGAGAGAGAGAGAGAGAGAGAGGGAGGGAGGGAGGGAGGGAGGGAGGGAGGGAGGGAGGGAGGGAGGGAGGGAGGGAGGGAGGGAGAACAAGAAGGAGAGAACAAGGGAGAAAGAGTAGAAAGAGGGGGACTCCTGGGGCCAGCAGCCAGACATGAGCAGGACAGACAGAATGAAAGGTAAAGAGCCCCGAGGCAAAATGGAGATGCAGAGAAACAGGTTAAATCAAACTGTAAGCGCTAGTGGGACAAGCATAAACTAAGGCCAAGCGTTCATAAGTAATCATAAGTCTCCATAAGTCTCCGTGTCATGATTTGGGAGCTGGTGGTGGCCAGAGTCCTGCTTCTGCACATGACGTCCCTGGGAAAGACTGTTTCCCTAGTTCCACTTAGCTCATCACCTCTGTCTTCCAAAACTCTCCTTCCCTACTTCCCTAGAAGACTGGGTTCTTTAATGTGTAACTAACAAATACTTAGTAAATGAAGATGCCAAAGGGACACAGAGAGGCCAGCAACAATGACACCGAACAGCTAACCTCCGACAAGACTAGGGAGGAAAGGCGGAGCGAAAGAAGAAAAACTACCAATCCACGAGAAACCACAAGAGCCCTGTAAGGGCTGGGAACAAAAAACACGGGACCACAAAGGTCACAGAGGCGGGAATCTACCTGGCATTTCTAAGGTGTGCTGATGTCCACATGCAGCAGAAAATCATTAGCTAATGCACACAGAGAAGGATGAGGCCCCGTTACCAGAAGGAGCAGCAACTCACACTGTCTGTTTCTAATAAAGAATATCTTAAGCTCACTGAACTGTTATGAAGTATTTACATTTACATTACTTCCCATCAAACACTTGAAGAAATCCAGGCTTGCAAAGGACACCACACCGAGCTGCCACTTTAAAGAGGGGGGGAAAGGAAAATAAAGGCTAAGAAAGAGAAATGCCAGAAAATTCTATATGATGAGGTAAGTTCCTGCTACAAAAATGAAGACAGATATGCCTTCTGACAGCTACCAGGAAATTTCCTTAAAAAACAGCTAGCTTCCCACCCTAACCCACCCTCAATCCTTTATCTATGCTGCTGCTGCTGCTGCTACCAACTTGACCAAGACTGTGAGACCACACCTTAAGGATAAAAAGTCCAGACGCCCCTTCCTGAAGGAACTTTCCTGAATGGGTGCTGCCATGAGACTTTTACATACAATAAAAACAAACTTTTACTTCTAAAACCTAATTTTATTTAGGTTGTCTGTCACAGCTGAATCTAAAATAAATAAATAATAAAAATAAATAAAATAAAATGAGGGGAATCAGGAGATAGTGCCAATGTGGGAATGGGAAAATTACTCAATGGTATTTGCAAAAATTAACAATCCCTAAATTCTGTTTTGTTCAACATGAGATTTCACCATGAAACCCAGGCAGGCCTGGAATGTCCAATCCTCCTGACTCAGGCTTCCAAGTGCTTGGATTATATGCATGTAGCACACCTGGTGGGTTCCTGAGTTCTGCTGATGGAGCAATCCAATTCTAATGCACTGCTTGCTCCAATGCACGGCTGTGGGTCAGGATAAGCCATGGGTGCTGATGGAGCAATCCCATTTTAATGCACTGCTTGCTCCAATGCACAGCTGTGGGTTAGGATAAGCCGCGGGTGCCAGACTTCTACCGCTGTGAAAAGATCACAATACTTTTGAAGTTTATTGTTGTGTATGTGTGTGTGTGTGTGTGTGTGTGTGTGTGTGTGTGTGTGTGTGTGTGCTTATGTGTGTGTGGTGTACGCACGTGTGTGGTGTGTAGTGTGCAGAGTGTGCGTGTGTCCCAGGTGTGAAGAAACCTGCAGAGACAAGAAGGGATGTTGGATCCCAAGAGCTGGAGTTACAGGCAGGTGTGGAGCATCTGATATGGGTTCCTAGACACTGCAGAGGTGTTCTTAACCCCTGAGCATCTCTCCAGCCCAAGATCAAAATACTTTTGAGAAAAGTAGTGGGTTTCTGGGCATAGTGGAAGGAATTAATGAACAATCAGAGGAGATGCTAGGTGATACAGAGAACATGAAATAGATGGAATTGAGGATTTTGTTTAAAATATAATGGAGATAATGTCTAAAAGCTATGCCAACAGGCTATATACAAACAATGTTGGTTCCTCTCTCTCTCTCTCTCTCTCTCTCTCTCTCTCTCTCTCTCTCTCTCTCTCTCTCTCTCACACACACACACACACACACACACACACACACACACACACACACACACACACACACACATACAAAACCCAGAAAGCTCCTATTAAAATAGGTTCTTTGCTTGATAGGGGGTACCTAACCTTTGAGAAAGTATTTCTCAAAAAGTCTTCCACAACACACTCTGCTCTTCCTTTATGATACCGCCGTAACTACTGAGTGCTAATGACTTCTATCAAATGAGAGTGACAGAAGAAATACAGGATTACGTCCGCTCTTGGTAAAGCCAACAGAATTAAGGGAACTTGGTTTTGGTTAACTGAAGGTCAACCACTGACTTCCAAAAACCTCCCCCACTATCATATATTCTAATACAGAAATGGAAATAACTAACTTCTACCAGCTGAGCAGATCCTTGTCAAGTGAGGCACCACTGATGGAGAATAGTATCAAGAGTCTATTTATACTTTGCAAAGCTACTTGTTAGGAGGGTGGGTCAAAGTGCAGCCAAGCTACAGAACAGGCAAAAGGAAGAAACTGTAGTGTGGTGATGGTTCACAACAAACGCAACACTGGACCAAAGGGTCATCGCAAATGTAACAGCAGCAGACTCTAAGTTTCAGCGAGGTCCATGGGCCAGAAGTTGCCTTTCTGGTAACACACAAGGTCAGGTGTTCCTAACAAATGCTTCTCTCCTAGTTCACAAATATCCATTACAGAGAGGATAGGGTGAGGCAGGGTGAGATCCAATTCCTTCACCAGATGGAGCATTTGCCAAATCTAGTACTAAATGTGATTCAAAATGAAGTGAGAAATCTGCAAACTAGTGTTCTTGACAAACCGACACAGGGTAACTTTCTTAAACCTAAATGTAAGTATGGAAACATAAATCCAACAAGCCACAAAACAGACCTTAGAAATCCTCACAATTTCCAAGATCAAGCACAGAAATATTTTATTTCAAAGTCCTACCATTTCCCTAAAAGGTTTCATAAGAAAATGATCAAAAGCAATGCAAAAATCCCTAACAGGTATAAATCAAGATGTTTTATTTATTGCAAAATGTGTATGGATGCTAACAGGAATTACAAGCAGGCTCAATTGGTAACTATGGAAGCGTTGAATGCATCAAAATAGTCACAAATTGTTATCTATTACCCTGGCTCAGGCTCCTCAGGCACTTACGCATCTGACAAGAATTTCAAATACTACAGTTATTGGGATCTAGTAAAATTTGACACAATACTGCTGTAGGACTTACAGTATATCACCTTGTAAGACGCATATGCACAGTATTTAGCAAAGGGTACCTTTACATCAAAGACAAATTAAGAATGTTGTACACCGCATGCATTTTTGCTTCTGCCTACAAAAGGTTCGTGCCTGTTATATTTCGAAAGTACTAGAAAGGTCTAAACATCATGATTAAGACTATCTGACAACTGACCCTATTTTAGTTTGACATCGACATATAAGCAAGGATAGAGAAGGGAGCCGGACTCCATACACACTCACCCAGGTAACGACACTCTCAAACCCCTCTTCACTCATCCCCTTAACATGCTCAGCACAGCTGTATTGCTGGTGAGAGAACATGAACACCACAGGAGCTACACAGGGGTAGTTGAGAGACATCTGCCTGTTGGCAAAGCAGAACAAAATTTGCTACCATTGCAAGCGGTTGATCAAAAGGTGAAGCCAAGAAAAAAACTAAACAATGAGAAGGTGGGTTTGGAGTTCAGGAGTTAAAGCAATACCCCTTAGGCTCTTAATCCAGACAATCACTTACAACACTGGGAAGGGCTGTGGAATGTAAATCCCACCAACCTGGAGCCTACACTACGCATTCAAACTGGCTTCACCTTGACGGCTCTCCAATCTTGAAAAACCATAGACAGGTTATCCACGAAAACATAGGCTCACGCAGAAGAATTCTCCTAATGAATTAATTTCTCACACGTTTTCCCTTAGCCCAAATCTGCTCTTCCTTCACCTTAGCTGGAGCTGGATCCCAAACCTAAGTCTGCAGGGTGAAAGAACAGAGAAGAACTGGGGACCTCTGGCAGGAGGACCCAGAGCACAAGCCACTTGCCTTCCTGAGCCTCCAGAACCTCGGCGGAGTCTCAGACACCGTGCAATCTTAACACCTAAGATCCACGGCAGCCACATCGTACAGCAGGCATTCTGCAGAATGCCCGATCATTCTTATACTTAAATAAAATAGACAAGCCCGAGTGCTCTGCTCTCAAAACTCAGCATGTCAACCACCACTGCAGGAAAAACAGCTGCTACTTCATAAGAGGGTAAAACGAGGAGAGAGAGGGGAAAAAAAAAAAAAAAAAAAGACACTCGGCGGCGCAGGCGAAACTCATCGCACTCCGAGAGTTTCTTTCCTCGTGCTTCAGTGAATCTCGGGTGGCTGCGGTTACGTGAAACCAAAGCGCTCGGGATCGACTCCAGGGCCTCCGCCGGGCCACCCGGACCTTCAGACCTCAGGACAGGGGAGAAGGGAGCCGGCAGGGTGCTGGGAACGGGCTGGGGAGCCTGGGCAGAGGGGCGGCAGGGAGGGCCGCGCGGCCCCGGCCTCCGCCCCAGCGCGGGCGGCGGCCCAAAGTCACCTGTGAAGGAGTCGGGATAGATGGACTCCAGGGCCTCCAACTCGTTGCGTTGCTCCTCGCCGTAATCTGTCATCGTGGCCCGCGCTGCGGCCCGTGCATCGGCGCGACACCCTGGCGGCAGGCTGCAGCGGACACCGCGGCCGCCGGCTGCCGGGCGGGCGCACGCGCAGAGTCCGGGTGGGGGAAAGGACGGGACCCACGCCTGGCCCCGGCCTGCAGAGCTGGTGGTGGGGGGGGGGGAAACCTCCCGAGCGATGCCTGCGTCGGAGTTCGACTCGTCGTGCCTGGAGTGCGGGCCGCTGATTGGTTGCCTGCCCACGGCCGCTCGGGATTGGCTGGAGCGTGCCGGCAGCCGGTCGGGCGTTCCGGAAGGCCGGCCAGGGCCTGCCGCTGGGCCGTGCGGGCCTTGGGATGGAGATGCCCGGCGGAGCGGCATCCTCATTCTGCGCTCGAGAAGTCTGGCCTGGAAGTCTGGGTCTCGCGTAGGGCGCGGTGGCGTCACCGAGGGCGGGGCTTGGAGGTCCGCCGGCTTCCGCCTTTCCGGGTTCCCAGCCCACCAGGTCCTGGGCCCGAGCAGCTTGGGGTCCGCGGCTGGCCGGATTCTGGGGTCACTCGAGGCTCAGATCAGGGCGGACTCTTGTAAGCCGAGCTGGGAGGTCTGGGGAGCCGCGGGGCGCGTCCGGGTTCGGCCCGGGCTGCTGGGGAAGCAGGAGATCCCCGGTCGAACCGGAGGCTGGACGTCGAGCCCCGGGTTCAGCAGATCTTGGGCTTTCACGTGAAAGCTGTGAAATGAACGAGGCGGAAAGCTGGCCTCGGGGTGTCTACGGTTGTGTGTCAGCGAACGGATGGGGGTGCGGGTTTTAGTCACAGTTTTGACATTGTAAACATTGCGGTGAAATGCCGAGGAAAGTACCCAACCCTTGATGTAGTTCCACTTCTGCTAATAGACTGGCCAGCTTTAGGTTCATCACAACAATCAAAATGTCAGTAACCGTAACAGCAAAAAAAAACTAGGAAAACAGTTTACATACGTTTTTTGTGAAATAAGTATTCAACAGTTAGTTGGGTTTGTATTTGTGTATAATAAAGGAGCACGTGTTCGCTTAAACAGAATGTGGGGAGATTGCCTCAGGGAAAAAAACCCAACATACTAAAAATATTCCCTCAAGATTTCTTTGCCTTTCTTGTGTATTAAAGCTCGCTTTATTTGTATAGTGTTCTCTTGCTAAATTATGATGGTTCCATAAATGAGTTTTGTAAATTTTCTAGGTTTTGACTGTGGTCGTTGCTTGGATTAATTTTGCTGTCTAGTTTGGGATTGCTAGAATTTGTGATACCCCTAATCTGGCCTCAGTAGTGCCATGATTGTAGGTGTGAGCCACAGTGCTCCACTCACACATATGATTTTGTTTTGTTTTGTGTTTGTTTATTAGCAAGTATTGCTTACTTACAGCAGAGAAATAAATTATATCCAATGTATTCAGGCACATTTTACTTCTGACTTCTTGTTTCAGATATATTAAGAGTTGATTTTTGTCCCCTTTTAAACTTTAAAGGAGGGAAAAGGAAACTCTTGATATACTGAGTATCAAGGTCCACAAAGTAACATTTCAATGATAAGCTGCTTATTTGCTTATTCAAAGGAATTCCAATGATTTGTTACCAGATGGACTATGGGGAGCAGCTACTTCACAGTTTTTGGTTTGGGTTTTTTTGTTTGTTTGTTTCCAGACAGGGTTTCTCTGGCTAGCCCTGGCTGTCCTGGAACTCGCTCTGTAGACCAGGTTAGCTTTGAACTCAGTGGTCTGCCTGTTAAGTGTTGGGATTAAAGGCATGTGCCACCACCACTGGGCTGCTTCACAGTTCTTAAGGAAACAGTTCACCTGGCAGGTTGGAGGCCAGTGGGGAGCATGCACAGTGATCCGTGTGCATATTGTGAGGAATTCTTGAAGTGTTAGAAAAGTGGCACAGACTTTGTATTTGAGACATGCTGCTGTGGCTACCCCATGGCACAAATCTGAAAGTATAGAGGATGCTATGGCGATAAGCCAAGCAAACGGATGCTGATTTGAACAAACATAAGGAACAAGTTCAGGGTATATTTTGAAAATAAAAGTGTCAGGAGGGGAAATGGCCAAGGTCAACAGAGAGCTAAGTCAATGTTGGCAATGAGAACATGGGATCCCTCAGACACAGCTGCCTAAGGACTGATAACCATAGACCATGGGGAAGAGTCAGGTCCCCAGAAATGGTAACTGACTCCTGCAAGGCACTAGCTCGAGCCTCAGATGGGCCTTGCCAAGTCCTTCCTAGACAAGAACACAGAACTAAAGTTCCCTTTGTCCTTTCAGCAGAGCCTCTAAGGAAGACCTGGGTCATTTTGTTGTTAGTATTTAAGTTTCTTCTGTAGGTACTAGAAAGTTACAGTGGCTGTTTCTTAGTTGATATTACTGTTACTGTTCTTGTTGCTGCAGCCAGGAACCTAACAAGAAACAGATCAGTGAAGGGTTTCACAGTCATAAGGATATATGGAATATATATATATGATATATACATTGGGATATATAGGATATATTCTCACAGTTCATAGGGATATAGGAATATGGTTCACAGTTCATATGAATATATGGGAGATATATATATATGATATATATGGGATATATACATAAGGATATATAAGATATATATGGGATGTATTCTCAAAGTTCATAGGGATATACTCCCATTGTGGCAAGGAAGGCTGGACTGCAGGGAGCGTAATGAAGGGAGGAGGAGCGTGCCACAGCTGTCTGCTCACATCTCCATGGGTCTGGAAGGAAATGTGTTACTCCTGTCTCCCTTCTTACTCATCCTGAGCCCTCAGGATGGTAATGTCCACATTCAGGTTAGTTCTTCCCTGCTGTTAGTCTTCTCTGGCAACACCCTCACAAACATATCCCAGAGCACTAATAATGCTCTAGGTGTTTCTTACTCTAATCCAAACACCAATCCAAGTTGGTGTTTCTTTTTGCTTTGTGGCTGTGAGGTTCCAAGTCAACCTTAGTGCTCACAAACCCAGAACCGAGCCTTGCCTTTTCAAAGCTTACTTTTAAGTTCTCAAACAGTCCGTGTGGCTAATGTTTCATTTACTGAGGTGTCTCCAAGGCCCATCACTAATCACAGTCACATGACATTTCATTTCAGTGTCCACTGTCAGCCCCTGGAGAGGTGGTGTCGTCCGTCATCTGGTCTACCATACCTGGCCTCTCTGCTTCCAGCCTTACCCTAAGTCTATGACACGGTGCGGCTGCCCCATGGGGCTGCTACAATCTAACTCCTCTGCTCCGTATTTCCCTGCTTGCTATGGATTACAGGTTTTTATCAGTGTAAGCCATATAGACCATGGCTCCGTGACATTCGTGTACAACAGGTATCCTTTCTCACCTTGTTGCTCCCCTCCGGTCACATTAGTCTCTGCTGTGGCTGAGACGTGTGAAAGTGTCTCCAAGGTTTACACCTCTGGTTCTCTCTGTAGTGTTGTGACACTATAACCTGATGAGTCTCCCTCGTCCCCTAGTCTATCGTCAAAGGCAGGGCACTTTGTTGACTTCTGTGTTTCGGGACATACAACAGTACCTAGAACAGTGTGGGTACTAAACAAATACTAGATGGCTCAGTACATGAGGGTGTTTGCTACCAAGCCTGGTCCCCTGAGTTTGATCCCTGGGACCAACTGCAATAAGTTGTCCTGTGACCATCATAGATGGACCATGGCACACACACAAATATAGTGATAATTTTATATAATCTTGAATGAAAGAATGAACCCAACGAAATGGTCATGATATGGTTATAAAACGACAGGATGGGTGCTTAATTGGAGTATAGGTCTTCTGTATAGTTATTTACCATATGAATTTGGATAAGACACAGCCTTTGTGTGTCTCAGCCTCTTTGTCTAGAATATGAGGGCTTTGAGTTATTTCCAAGTTTCTAGGTATAAGGGCCTGTGATTCATCAAGACTTTGCTTATGTTGGAGTTGGTTGTGTGCAACAAGACCTCCTAGTTAGTTAACTTCTCTAACTCAAGGTTTAATAGGTAAAAGATTAGTGTTTCTATTGGTGGCCTTGTTACTCACCGAACAGGCAAATGCTAATATTATTTTAATTTTTTCCTTGTATTGAAAATAGATATTTTCTCACACACTGTATCGTGGTTACAGTTTCCCCTCTTTCTACGCTCAGCTTGTCCCCCCTCCCCTCCCATTCAGATCTTCCCCCTTTCTGTCTTCCATTAGAAAACAAACAGGCTTCTAAGGGAATAATATAATATAATACAATATAATATAATATAATATAATATAATAATACAATTAACATAATACAATATAATGTAATATAAAGATAAAATAAAACCTAGCCCATCAGAATAGGACAAAACAAACTGGGAAAAAAAGAGTACAATGAAAAGCACAAGAAACAGATATAGTTGCAGAGACCCCAGTGGTTCATGTACTCAGGAATCCCATTTTAAAAAACAAAACAAAACACTAAACTGTAACCCATAATATACAGGCAAAGGATCTGTAGGGTAAAAAAAAGATATAAGAAAAATACATAGAAATAAGATAAATTAAAAAAAGGAAAAGCCTGGCATGTTATTATGAGATAAGGAACCTACCTCCAAAGATGTCGTTGAGTTCATTTTCTGTTGACCATCTACTGCTGGTCATGCAGCCTGCCCGTAAGAATACTTTGCTTCCCCAGTGAGACTGCCTTCGAAAAAACTAATTTTCATTTGCAAGTGGTTATCAGTTGGAGGTTGCTTCTGAGTTAGGGATGGGGACATGTGTGCACTTCTCCTTTCCGCTCTAGGACCCCGCATGGGGCAGACCCATGCAGGCCCTGTGCATGCTGCCTCAGTCTCTGGGAGTTCATATGTGCATTGATCATTTGATTTGTAGGGATGGAGACTTTGTTTTTTAATGTAGGCACTTGGTGGTATGAACTTGCCTATTAGAACCATCTTCATCGTGTCCCGTAAGTTTGGGTATGTTGTGTATTCATTTTCACTTAATTCTAGAAAGTCTTTAATTCCTCTCTCAATTTTGGCCTTGACCCATTTTTCATTTAGAGCTGATGTTTCTAGGTCTCTCACCCTCTCCATATTGTCTGGCTGTGGATCTCTGTACTTGTTCCCATCTGATTTACCAAGGAGCTTCTCTGATAATGGCTGAGCAAGGCATTCATCTAT